GCTTTCTTTCTGGCGAGCACAAGCGCCCTATATCAAAAACCTCTACAAAATAAATAAATAAATAAATAACTCTAACACTTTAATGTAAATCTTTCTTTTTTCCTAAGTTGTCAAGTCTGGAACTTGAACAGCACAATCTGCTAAGTGGGATTCAGCCACCTAAACCACCCACCACATCACCAGCTGGTCTAACTCAAATCTCTACAATGATTTTTTTAATTGCCTTTTTTTTTTCCTTATTTATTTTTTACATTAATTCACTATACATCATTACAGCATACAAATGAATTTTCCATCCAAAATACACTATATATTGGCTCAATCAAGCACATCAACATACATAATATCAGCCAATAATTTTCCATTTATGTCTTGTATACTTCGTTTTTTTGTTTTGCCATCCTTGATTCCCTAACCCTCACCCTCTGCCATGTCCCACCCTCTTCCCACATTGTCTCTGGTATCCATGGTTGCTTTCTATGCCTTTCCCCCCATTTAATTGATTTGCTAATGAACTTAACTAGTCTAAATATTTCCAATAGCTAGCACAGCTGATATATACCTATACATCATCCCAAGTCTGACTTTAGGCATAAACCTCAGTGAGTAGAATGAACATACTATAAAATTCCACTCTCTTATTACACTATCTCTGCTGTCTACAGTTGTCTTCAATCCCTTTTCCCCCAACATTTCGTTGGTCACACAATATCATAAGTAATCTAACTACTTTCAATAGCAAGATCAGCCGATGGTTTCAAGAAAAGCAGTTTTGAACTGGTAAGGATATTTCTTTGAAACTTAAAGCCTAGAAACAGGTTAGTATTCTGTTCAAATAGTCGGAACATGAATCTATTGATAGCTGAAGACAGGACAAAAGTCCTTAAAACCAGACAACAAAGCTTAGAAGAAAAGCAGCAATATTTTAGTCAAGTCGTAGAATACTGTTTCATCAGTTCAGTCTCATGTACTTAATCTTTCTTCTGTATCTGTTGAGGTTCGATGTTCCAGATTGAAATCTGGGATGTAATACTCAACTCCAGCTTTTGGCCCTACAATTAAGTTGCCCATTTTCTTAGTTTCTGAACTCTTATTTCTGTGTGTCTGCATTTAATTTTACTGACATAGCACTCCCTTAAGAACTTCTTGGAGATCCGGTCTGGTGCTGGTAAATTCTTTCAGGTTTTGTTTATCTGGGAAAGTTCGTGTCTTTTCTTCCCAAATGAACGATAACCTTGCTGGGTACAGAATTCTCGGTTGAAATTGCTTTTCCCTTAATACTTTGAATACATTTTCCCATTCTCTCCTCGCTCTCATTGTTTCCGATGAGAGGTCTGCCGTTAGTCTGATGGGATACCCTTTGTAGGTAACTTGCCTTTTTTCTCTTGCCAGTCTTAGTATCTTGTCTTTGTCTGTGGTTTTGGTCAATCTGGCTATAATGTGTCTTGGAGAAGATCTTCTTGGGTTGATTCTATTTGGGGTCCTCTGTATTTCTTGGGACTGAATCTTTGAGTGCCTCTCCAGGTTTGGAAAATTTTCTTGTAAGATTTCATGGAATAGATTATCAATGCCCTTATGAGTCTCTTCACCTTCTGGGATGCCTATTATCCGGATGTTTGGACGTTTGATGGTATCTAGTACTTCTCGCATATTATTCTCAAATTTTTGGGCCATTTTCTCAGTCTTCGCGGTGGATTTTTCTAGGCCAACCATTTTCTCTTCTACATTAGAGATTCTATTTTCTGTATGATCTAGTCTGCTTTTAATACTTTCAAGGGAGATTTTGATTTCCTGTATTATAGCCTTCATCTCTAACAGTTCCATCTGATTCTTTTGTAAAGTGTGAAATTCCTCTTTAAGATCTTTTGCATGAATTTCCTCACCTCCTGGAACTCTTCAACTCCTTTCTCCTTCCTCTTCAGCAGTTCCTTGTCTCTCTTCTCTTCCATCTCTGTTAGCTTTGCCATTATGAATGTTCTGAATTCTTTATCAGACATTTCCATGATTTCCATTGAACTGTGTGTGGATGAAGAGAACTTATCCTTTTCCCTTGGAGGAGAGGTATTTTCCTGCTTTCCCATATTTCTTGTGGTCCTGCAGCGATTTCTAGTCATCTGGTTGATGGTCGGTTTCTTCCCAAACTTGGAAGTTCAATCCAAGCGTCAAGGAGTGTGCAGAAAAGGAAACAGAAAGAGAGAAACAAAAGCAACAACAGCAAAGAAAACAAACAAGAAACAGAAAAAGAGAAGAAAAAAACGAAGATAAAAACTTTTCAATAAAACTAAAAAAATTAATATTTAAAAAAATTTCAGTAAAAACCAAAAATTGGAAAACCGCGTGGCGTGCAAGCGCACCACGTGATATTCTAAAAAGCGAAAATTTCAAAAAAGAGAGAGAAAACAGAGACAGGGACAGAGACAGAGGTAGAGAGAGACAAAGACAAGATCCTGTATGTGTGACTGAGTGATTCAAGTCCTAGACCCAGTGCTTGAAAAACGACCCAGGTATGTGTGTTTGTGAGTACCCAAAACTCTCGGAGGAGAATGGAGGAGAAGGGATTGTGGTGTGTCCAACCCCTTGAGGGGCAATTTCTCACTTTGCCTCTCTCCCTCTGTCCTTCCAGTGAGCGCATGCATTCTATAGCAAAAACTAAAAAAACAAAAACTATTTTTAACCAACCATCCCAAAGAAAACAAAAAGCACACATTCATCCACAGGATAAACATAGGTTGTATTCTGGGATTGAACTTTCTCTACATACTATCTGTATGACAAACTCTTAATAAAGAGCAGAAGAGCAAACCATAGCAAAATTTTTGTCAATACCATTAACATGAGAAATAAAAACCTAGCATATAATGACAATTTAGTTTTGTAGACTTCTCCATATTTAAGGAGAGCATATTTATATATAATTATAGAAAATAAGGTAACAACTATACCACTCAAGACAGTAAGACAGCAATTTGATACTCAATTTTTTTTTAAGATTTTTGCCATGGGGCATGTGTGCTCACCAGTGAGAGACAGTGAGAGGGAAAGTGAGAAATCACCACTTAGGAAGGATGGCCATACCACAATCCCTTCTCCTCTACTCTCCT